CATCACCAACGTACGCGTTCAATGCATGAACGGAAACTCCCTCACAAACGACGTACGGGTCTATGTCGTGGCCCTCTTTGTCGAAATAACTTGCCACGTCATCAAGCCTCAGCGCATTCATGGTGTCGAGGATTTCACGGACAGTTCTTGGCAGAGCCGAAGCAGTCGGAGCCAGGTTGCCGCAACCACAGGTGTCTCTTCAGTTGATTCAGCGACTTTAACTTTCGTGGACTTGTCGCATATGTGAAAAACCAAACCCCGTTGCTCAAACCTGCGACGCTCATCTTTCTCCCTCGAAATGGGAATGGACGGTGTTCTATATCCAGATAGATAAATCAGCTTTAATAGTTTATACGAACACACTGAAATCTTGTCAGTGAGCATTACGCGGCTGACTTGTAATCTGTTATAAAGGGGGAAATTCGGGGGAGTATAGAGACTCTTTGGCTGGAGACCATTGTCCCAATCCGTATATTTATATTAATTTATACTAAAGTAAATATGAAATACTTAGAAGTAAGATTGATCAGTATCAATATCACTTGGCATGCAAGTGTGTACCAGTAACGTAAACGCAGTGACATGATGGAAGTTCGCGATTTTCTTCTATAACTCAGTTCCCTTTGTAAATACAACGCAATTCTCGTCGATTCAGGAGTGCTGTTACCTTATTCAATAATAACCTGTGCACTCAAATATTTTGTTTTAATGCTTCTGTGTCAAAACGTTTTTGATGATAGGTGCACGCACCGTAACGCCATTGGTCAATTCGAACTCTCTGCCAATCACAGCGCCAAATTCCAGCCTTATACAACGTCGTTCCATGTAAATTAGCTTTAAGGTAACACATCGAAATCGCGAACACTTTTTGCGTCGTGTCAAATCTAATTTTTGACGCAACATACCTCTAGAAATCCGTGGAATTTGCAAATCTTAAGGCATGGTAGGAAAATATAATTCGAGCACTATATGATTCGATCATAAAGCAACTGAATGTGTTGTTTGTAGTGGATTATTGCGATCAGTCATAAAAGTCGGAATTACGGGTTGTGATTTCTTCATCGCGAACAGCTCGTGTATCTTGATTTTTGTATTGAGAAATAAAAATATGCGCAATTTATGTTTATTTTATTGCTGTTCGCGATTTCAATGCTTTACCTTAATAGTTTACAAGTGAAAACAGTATTCAGATTTTTCAGTTGTCATAAAATTTTAACCAATTTTCTAGTATTTTTGTTTTTCTATAAAACAAAATGTTTGAATAGATGTTTTTCTACAAAACGGACTTTTGATATAGATGTTATTTTTGTCTTTTTCTACATATAGATACTACTACACGAAGTCAATAGCAGCATGCACGTATGGTTTTAACGATGTTAACGTGGATTTTGCGAGGCTGGCGGGTCTTCGGTTTCCTAAAATCGTGAATTTATTTTGTCACCCCATATTTTTTAATGATATCGAATATTTCAGTTAAAAAGTCTAGAAATGTATCCTGAATCAAAATCTACGATTTGCACCAATCAAAAGCGTGCATTCATGAAAATTTGAGTTTTTCACACGTCCTTGAACCAAACATGTGACAATTCTTGTTGGACAGAGTAGTAGTAAATACAATAAATCAGTGGGTATATATGGATTTGTTAACTGTAAATATTTTTGTCTTTCTTGTTTCGAACGTTACTCTAATATCGGGGTCCGTCCTATAGGTTTAACTCCCGTTTCACTGTCTCCTATGTTTCTTTTATAACTCTAATCGAGTAAGCACAATTCTGGGATCTTCTACTCCCGTTTCACATTCTTCTCTTCTCCGAGAGTTATACGTATGGGCTGGTTCCGTGACACTTTTGGGACTCTTCGATGGAAAGGTTCCTTTACTCCAAATTGCTATTATAATAGGGTTTCTTTCTTAAAGAGGATAATTAATCCAGTTCGTAGGACTTAAAATCATGTCGAAAATTCGTAATGGTGTTGATGGAAATTGAATTAAAAGAGTGGAAACTGAAAACAGTGCCGAACCACTGGATTTTATCCAGTTACCTAATATTGTGCTTTTCACATATTTTGGCTAATCTGGGTATAAATACCCGCTTTTA